TAGACCCTAGCACTCACAGTGCACACAACAGCCTGGAATGTGGCATCTGCAGACCTCTCGCACACCCACACGTCCAGCCCCAGCTCAATTTTGCAACTTATTGCCCGCTGCTTCCCTCATGAGCCTGTATTCAGCCTCAGGTTTTCCAACAGTGCTTCCTCTGTGCTGTGCTGTGACTTCTGCTAATTGCTGTTTGCTCTTCTCATCCCTGTACCAGCAGGAACGCCACCTCCCTGAACACCACAGAATGTACCGTGTACTTTTCCAGTATCCCCCGCCAGAGCTGCTCTCTCTCCTCGGTGCCCCCACGTCAAACCCAGTCTTCTCTGTCCCCTCCCAGCCAGCACGATGACTTCAGCACAAACTGCAGAAGAGACGGGCAAGGCGAGACCAGTGTCACAGCACCAGGCAAATAAGCCGAGCAGCACAATTAGACTCTGAAAGCCTCGGGTTCCACGTGTGTAAAACGGGTTAACAGTAACTTCCTCGCGGGGTCCACATGAGGACTTGGGGAGGCCGCACGTGTGAAAGCAGACAGCCCGCAAGCACTAAGCACGCAGTCCACGGTAGCTATTAGCAGCAGTCCCAGCAACGTCAGTAGCACCAGTACCAGGGGAAATGTTAACACAGAATTCCCTCCCAGCAAATCTACCAGCTGTGACTTCCGAACATGCTTATTCTGTATCCCATCTCCCTCTCGTTACTAGGAATCAGGAATACACGTCATTGCAGTTTCTCCCAATGGGTGCGTCTTTCTTCCTTCGCGCACGTCATCTGGGACAGGAAAGCTGTGCAGACTGGACCCATCACACAAGGAGCTCCTGCATTCTGCTTGCTTGCGTCTCTGGGCTTGTATCTGATTGCTACCTAACCGCTGGGCCACGCGTCCACCATTTGGAATAGATAGTTTGGATTCTAGGGAAGAGGATCAGCACCTTGTAAAGTGCACTTCTCTCTCTCTCTTTTTTTTTTTTATTTGAGACGGAGTTTCGCTCTTGTTACCCAGGCTGGAGTGCAATGGCGCGATCTCGGCTCACCGCAACCTCCGCCTCCTGGGTTCAGGCAATTCTCCTGCCTCACCCTCCTGAGTAGCTGGGACTACAGGCACGCGCCACCGTGCCCAGCTAATTTTTTGTATTCTTAGTAGAGACAGGGTTTCACCACGTTGACCAGGTCGGTCTCGATCTCTTGACCTCGTGATCCACCCGCCTCGGCCTCCCAAAGTGCTGGGATGCAAGAACATTTTTAATGTTACTATATAAAGCCCTTATCTCATCCATCTGGGCCACTGCTTCTGGCATTTATTTTCCTAAACTGCTACAATTTCCCCCCAATCCAACACACAAACTCACTTCCACTCCCGGCACTTGCAGGCCCCTGTGCCATATTCCCTGTGTATCTGTGTATATCCCCCACTCCAGCTGTGGTTTGTCTCCACTTTGGGTACAATTAATAGCAGAGCCAGTCACGTCCTGCCAGCTTCCTTTTGCACAGGGTAGGTATATGTGTGAGTATTACCAACTTTTTATTTCATTTTATTTTTGCACAGTGCAGCATTGAGACCTTAGAATTTCCCTGCTAGTAACTCTCAAGCCTTCTTTGCACATCTACTTTTAAGATAGCTAACCTATAATTTTTTTATCTTTACTGTTATTTTTGATAGGATTTAGCATGACTCTCAAAATACATTTTACACTGGTCAAAAAGAAAAAAACAACCCTCTAAATTGTTTAAGGACAAATGTATGTCTAAAAATTTATTTTTCGATTGTTACATTTCTTAGTGTATTCATTTGTGGGGCTGCTGTGCCAAACTACCACAGTCTGCGCGACTCAAACCACAGAACCACATTGTCTAGACACCCAAATTCAAGGCGTCCACAGGGTGGTACCCTCCCGAGACAATGCGAGGGAATCTGTCTCACGCCCTTCTCTCCGTTTCCGGTGCTTTGCTAGCAGTCCTTGGCAGTCCTTAGCTTGCACAGCGTCGTTCCCACTGTGGCCTTAATCTTCACATGCTGTTCTCCCCTGTGTGGTATCTGGGTCTGAATCATTTCTTCCTAAAAGAACACCAGTCCTGTTGGATTAGGCCCAGCCTACTCCAGTACAGACTCATCTTAACTAAATGTATTTGCAGTGACCCCGTTTCCAAAAAGATCACATTCTCAGGTGCTGGGTGTTAGAATGTCAACATATGTATTTTGAAGGGATAAAACTCAAGCCATAAAAATCAGCAACCTCAGCTGGGCGTGGTGGCTCACGCCTGTAATCCCAGCACTTTGGGAGGCCGAGGCGGGTGGATCACGAGGTCAAGAGATCGAGACCATCCTGTTCAACATGGTGAAATCCCATCTCTACTAAAAATACAAAAAATTAGCTGGGCATGGTGGCGCGTGCCTGTAATCCCAGCTACTCGGGAGGCTGAGGCAGGAGAATTGCCTGAACCCAGGAGGCGGAGGTTGCGGTGAGCCGAGATCACGCCATTGCCCTCCAGCCTGGGTAACAAGAGCGAAAAAAAAAAAAAAATACAACATTAGAATATGTCCTCCAGGTTCTAGAGATGGGGGAGGTATGTTTCTCTCTCTTTCTCAATAATTCAGCCAAAATAAAATCTGGAGCGACTGCAAAGACAGCTGCTAGAAACTCTGAAAAGTAGATGTGAGCCTGTCAGGGGAAGAGCTAGAGAGCCTGAAATCCACTCAGAAAGTGAGTTTCCATTTAGTCGGTCTTGTGTTCCTCTCCTAACTCAACAGAGCCCGAAACTTGGAAGTGAGCATCATGGCGTGGATACAGTGAGATGCAGAAGAAATCCTCCAGTGTGGGCTGGTAGGGAAGCAAGGGACCTCTCCCAGAGACTCAGAGACAGTGGAAGAAATTCCTGGGGTGTCTTCTCCTCTTTTCCTCTTTCCTGCCACACAGTAATTTAGTATCTACTATAGCACCTCACGTCAAAACGATAGCACTCAGGTGTCGTACCACCTGCAAAGCCAAAAACATTTATCTTGCCAGCTACTGGAAACTCTGGAAAGTACAGGAAAAGTGTGCTGATCTGGGTGAAATATTCTGATCCTAAACACTCCATTTTGTGAGTATTCCACAACTTAACAATCTACCTCTTGGCTATTTTGGCTTCTGTTTCTTTGTTTTGTCTGTTTTCTCGCATTATAAATTGTGCCGCTATAAGCTGATTTGTGTGTGTCTCTGGATGGACATCAGCAAAGTTTCCTGAGGCTGTGTACCCTGGGAAAATGCCAGGTTACTGGATGTGGTATACTGCAACTTCCCCAATTTTTAGTTCACTTTTACACATTTTCTACAGTAACTTTTGATAAATAAAATTTCCCAATTTTAATAGAATACACCTACTTTTTTAGTAAGTGCATTTTGTATCTGACTTAAGAAATTCTTTTCTGTCACAAGCTCAGGAAGACATTTTGGTACGTGTCAACCTGACCAGGCTAAGGCATACCCAGAACGCTGGTAAACATTATTTGTGGGCGAGGGTATTTCTACAAAGGTTAGCATTTGAATCTGGCTGAGTAAAGACAATTACCCTCCCCAGCGTGGTCTGACCATCATCCAATTCATTGAGGGCCGGAATACAGCGAAAAAGCAGGGGAAGGACAGATTGGCTCTGTGTGTTTGAGCAGAGATAGCATTGCCCCTGGCCCTTGGACCTCAACACTCTTGGTCCCATCCTACAGCCCCCCACTGACCCCCACTTCCACTCCCACGTCAGTTCTCAGGCCTTCAGACGCAGACTGAATGACACAACCCGCTTCTCTCGTCCTCCAGCTTGCACTCTGCAGACCCTGGAACTTCCCAACCTCCGTACTCAGGTGAACACATTCCTGTATCAGATCTCCTGTTGGTTCTCTTCCTCAGGAGAACCCTGACTAGCAGCTATCTGTATTCTCATATTTTACCAAAAATAAACAAGGCTTTGGTGTTTTGAGTGGAATTGCTTTGAATTTTAGATTAATTTGGGGAAAATGGCATCATTATTGATTGTTCTCATTCATAAATATGTGATATGTCTCCAATTATAGCTTTTCTTTTATGCCTTCAACAAGTTTCTTTTTATAATTCAGTGAATATGCATAGCTTTTGGAAGGTTTTGTAGTTTTCCTCTGTCTACTAAAAAGCATAAGAAAATGTTTAAGCCTTGATGCAATTAGAAACTGAGAAGAATTAAGCTACTAAGGGTGCAACTCTGCAAGCACGAGGCATAGAAAACAACTGTTATGGGGCCAGGCGTGGTGGCTCATGCCTGTAATCCCAGCACTTTGGGAGGCCAAGGCGGGTGGATCACGAGGTCAAGAGATCGAGACCATCCTGGTCAACATGCTGAAACCCCGTCTCTACTAAAAATACAAAACGTAGCTGGGCACGGTGGTGCATGCCTGTAATCCCAGCTACTCAGGAAGCTGAGGCAGGAGAATTGCCTAAACCCAGGAGGCGGAGGTTGCGGTGAGCCGAGATCGCTCCATTGCGCTCCAGCCTGGGTAACAAGAGTGAAACTCCGTCTCAAAAAAAAAAAAAAAAAGAAAAGAAAGAAAAGAAAGCAAGTGTTATGGTGAACCACAGAGTGAAAGAGTATGAATCGCCTGAAGCACTAGCTGCAGGGAAGCCGTCCTCCAAACAGAAGCATCCATTTTTGTACTTTTAAGGGAGTGAGAAATAAACTCCTTTTGCTTTTAAGCCATTATAAAATTTGGTGTGAATCTGCCAAGCCACGCAACATTAATCTAATCCACTGTCCTCCAATTCTAACAGTTGCAGACAGTCTTGAACATTTAACAACACAGACACAAATATTTGCAAGGAATTAAAATTGGGAAAAGTTCTAATAATTTTTTTCTTGTAAAACATTTTTACCAATTAATTATAGGTTTACTTGGAGTCACAAGGCAGAATTGTGTTATGCCATCGATCACTCAATACTCTTGTCAGATATATGCTTCTCTGCCACCTTGTGCTAAATTATTAGTCCTCCTTTTCTAAGACAGATAGTACCCATTTCAAAAGCATGAAGACTATAGCTTCGGGACAGAGGATTTGAATTCTCATAGCAGAGGTTGTAATATGTGATATCATGAGCTTGTATTTATTGTCCTAGGAGGCTGAGATTCCTGATCTCTTGATAGGGATTATGTATCTACCCAGAAGGCCTGCTGGGACTCCAATTAGCTAATGCATACAAATTGCTTGACTGTCAGTAAATATTATTTTCCTTTCTTTATGCCTTTGTGGAAACATTTCAGGTAGAGAAGAAGCATGACATACTTAGAAGAACTTTGAATATTTTTCCACCCACTAATTTATATTCTCATTAGCGTAAAGAACCTAATATTGACAGCGCCATACTTTATAACAAAGATGTGAAACTTGTTGATTATTCTTTCTCTCTTTTACGTTGACTCATTCTATTGCTCATTAATTCGCCCATGAAATGCTGATTGAGCAGCTCCTCTGTTTAAAGGCTAATAACATGGTTCTCTCCCTGGGTCACAGAGCTTGGTTTGCTGATGGTCCTATTCACTGGAGTAGAATGCCTTGCCATCCGGGCCCTCCTCACTTCACCCGCCAATGAACCGAACTCATCATACTGATCGTATTGTAGTGGAGAGCCGTGTGTTAAAATGATAACCATGACCCCCAGTCCTGAGACCAGCCTTAGCTTTGTGCCTTCTTATCTCCGCGGATGCAGCAGACAGTCGCCTCTAACTGTTAGCTTGCCTCAGACATTAAGAATAAAGTCATATTTAGCATAATCTAGGTGTCACTCTCCACATTGCATGGGTGCTAACAAACATTGTAAAATTGTTCCCATGTGTCAACAATAGTAATCCGTGGCCCGTTATAGATGACAGCAGGTGTCAAGGAGCCTGCCTCCTGGAGATTTGTTTGTGTTATTTATACCCCTGGCTTCTACGGTAATTGATTATTCTACGTATCTTCCTCCCACAAGTGCATATACAAACAGACTAAGGAAACCTCAGTCAAACTTGGAAATTTCCTTTGTAATATCTGTTGTAAGGTAAACTATGGTAAGTTCCTTATTGTCTATCTGTTAAGAATTGGGATGCTGAGCTGGATTTGATTTTCAGGTAAACAAGGAATTAGCCAGTCATCAAGAATATAAAGGGAACTTTGGTTACCAAATAATTAAAATGACGAAAGCAATGAACGTACACCTAACCCTTGAAGGCTCCCCTGGCTCCGATTCACAAGGCGCATGCTTCCGGTGTCCACGTGCGACATTCTAAACGTCAATTATCACCCTACACTGGTTTATTCAATACCTTCTGATTGACCTGCTTTATCTAGATGCTACATAAGCCTTTGTACCAAACTACAAACACTTTGTATTTATGGGAAAATGTCCAGTTGGAGATCACAGATTAACTGAAGATTATCTTCCTTAAACTTTTCACCATACTCAGAGACTTATTTTTCTCCTTACACTTTTGTTTCCTTCATTTGGGAAACAAAGCGAGTCGCTTTGTGTCACCTTTCTACCGCGTCTCATTCTATCCTACGTCATCCACCGCCGTTGTACCACCAAACCGTGTGCTGCCCTCTCTCAGAATGCCCTCCTGTTCTTTGGAGATAGCACTGCAGTGCTGTAGTGCTGTTATCGCAGATGCAACCCTCAGGCTTAACGCCTGCATGGCTTCTGCACCTGGGGACATCCGGGAGACCTTTGCAGCCACCTAACCAGACACGCTACCAGGCCTTCCAGCACCCTGTGCCAGGTGCTCGTCTTCCTGGCCTGTATTAGTCTGTGTCTCATCTCTTTATATGACTGTTTCTTCTAGTAAACTCAACTCCTCAGCTTAGAGGTCTTATTTTGTGCAATTTCTTTCAGTCACCAGTATCCGATACACCACATGGACACTTAAAGAATACATGGAATAAATGAATGAAGCATTTCTTCCAGTGTACAAAACAACCGAATAAATGAATCAATTCATTCTCAACTAACAAACAGAAGAACCGAGGAAACCGTTAGTCAAGTGACTGCCTGGTTAGCACGGAGCTTGGGATGGCCACCAACTCGGACTTCATCATTCTAGCTGGCCTTGAATTTGTTAATTAAGGAAACAATCGTTTCAATGCTCTTGCAGCAAACTCTAACATGTCTACTTAATCGGTAAAGGCAAGACCTCAGGGTACACTGGAAAACTAACTTCCCGGGTTTCTGCTCATTTCCAAAATTAAGCCACAAATCACTGACTTGAAATACCTTTCACAGCAGCAGCCGGTACCATCTAGGTATGGTTTAAAACACAAATCTCAATATTTCTTTTCCTTGAGATGAAATAACAAATAGAAGACAGATTTTGCTATGATTTGAGAAGAAAGATATCAGTGTCTAGATTAGCGCATATAAAGCAGTTCACTCACTTTTAAGATGCGATCTGTTTCTGCTTAAAATGTCTTCTCACGGAAGGGAGGGCGCAAACGGCCCCGCTGCGGCAGCGCCCGCGAGCCGAGGTACGTGTCAGGAGAACCGGGCCAGGTCCCGCCGCAAATCGCTCACGTGGTGCAGCTGGACACATGTTCTGGGAGTCAAATCAGCATATCAGATTCAATGACTCTGAAACTCTCTTCCAAGTCAAATAGCCTGTTATTTGTGCATTCCAGTGTGATCGTGCCATTTATTTGAAGTACCTCTGCCTACAGGACATTAGCTACTAGTGACACAGGTACAGGTTAGAATTAAGTGTTTAAAGAAGCAAATAAACCTCTCACTGCAATGGCAATTAAAGCCCACCCGGTCCAGCTGTGTGCTTTGTCCATGTGCTTCAAGTGGCAGTTTGGTGTGAATTTTTGGTGGCGATGCTTCATGGAGCATCTGCAGATGTGCTGCCACTTTGCAGAGGTCAGATGGCTTCAGTAATTCAAGACTTCACAACAACTCCTTGCCAGTGAATCTCCAGTGAAAAATAAGACGAGGGTCTGAGCTCAACAGAAAGATTCATCTGCCTTGCGGACTCACTCAGCCACGATACCCCATTTTGTAAAGAGACTTTGGTTCAGTGAACCGCTCTCATTATGTTTACAAACAGAAGAATGCTTAAAAATCTATCATTATACTTGAGAAAAAGCAGATGAGAGATTTTATCCTAATACTATTTCATCAGTTTTCTAAATTGAAACAGAAAAGAACCTGTTTTTGACTTCTGTATTTATTGAAGAGTTGTTCATTATGGATGACTGCTCTCTAAAGGTATTTTACACATGGTGCTTTACACAGAGCTGAATGCATTTGTTACGTAGTTGAGAGTTGTTTTTTTTTTCCTAATGCAGTTTCCAAAATAATGTGATTGGCCCTGAACAACATTAAGAGTGGATAATGGTAGAGAATAATAATAAAGATGAACTCCTGGCTGGGCGCGGTGGCTCACGTCTGTAATCCCAGCACTTTGGGAGGCCGAGGCGGGTGGATCACGAGGTCAAGAGATCGAGACCATCCTGGTCAACATGGTGAAACCCCGTCTCTACTAAAAATACAAAAAATTAGCTGGGCATGGTGGTACGTGCCTGTAATCCCAGCTACTCGGGAGGCTGAGGCAGGAGAATTGCCTGAACCCAGGAGGCGGAGGTTGCGGTGAGCCGAGATCATGCCATTGCACTCCAGCCTGGGTAACAAGAGCGAAACTCAGTCTCAAAAAAAAAAAAAAAAATGAAGTATAAAAGTGACTGGATTCTATTTTGAAAAGGTTGATACTTTTGTTTCCCAGAAAGTCATTGCTAATACTAACATACCCCATTACCTTGCTCATTCATGCCAATGTCGCTTCTTGGTTTTATGTTAGCCCCTTAAGGAAAACATTTTTTTCTACAACTCATGTCACGTTAAGACCTGTGGCAGTGCTAGGTAAAATTGGGAATATTGTAACATACACGATCTGGAGGTGACAGGAAAATGTATATACTAGGTTCAGCTATGAAGCAATTTATTTTTTCATAAATAATTTACAATCTAATTTTAGGCATATAAACAAAACGGGAAGTGCACTAAGGTAGTCCACTTTGAGGCCGTGTACCTGCCGTGAAATCGCTAGAAGTGCATTAAGGTAGTCCACTTTGAGGCCGTGTACCTGCCGTGAAATTGCTAGAAGGCCGTGTACCTGCCGTGAAATCGCTGCCTCTATTTACGTGATTTTCAGAGCCGCCTCTGTAATTATCATCTAACCCAGCACATATGCTGCACATAAAACGACTGGTCTCTAAATGTGTGGTATACTCTTAGAAGCTCAAATATTTGACACCACAAAATGTGAGTATGGCCCTAAAGCCGCAGATGCCCACGGGAGCTAGTCCACGTGTGTCTGGCCCTGCTGACCCTCAGGAGGGACGGGGCGTACCTGGTTGAATGTGTTTATTAAGTACCTGCACAGGCAGCCGTTTAGAAAAGTTGACACTTAAAACCACTATGCCATGGTTGCAGTGGAAAGAGGAATCCAAGAGACTTGAGGTGAGTGACACACCCAGTGCCTTCAGCAGCCACCCGCTGGGATGCAAGGATGGTTAACATACTCAGATCAATAAATGTGATTCATCACATAAACACAACTAAGACAAAAAACACACGATTATCTCAATAGACACAGAAAAGGCATTTGATGAAATGCAACACCCTATCATGGTGAAAACTCTAAACTAGATATTGAATAAACATACCTCAAAATAGTAAGAGCCACCTATGACAAACTTACAGTTAACATCATATGGAATGGGTAAAAGCTGGAAACATTCCCCTTGAAAACCAGCACAAGAGAAGGATCCCTTTCTCACCACACTCCCTACTTGACATAGTAATGGAAGCCCTGTTCAGAGCAATCAAGACAGAGAAGTAAAGGGCAAGCAAACAGTAAGAGAAGAAGTCAAACGATTCCTGTCTGCGGATGACATAACCGTCTACCTAGAAAACTCCATAGTCTCAGCCCAAAGCCCCTTAGGCTCACAAACAACTTCCGCAAAGTCTTAGGATACAAAATCAACATACAAAAATTACTAACATTCCTATACACTAATAACGGTCAGGCCAAGGCTGGGCACAGTGGCTCATGCTGGTAATCCCAGCACTCTGGGAGGCTGAGGTAGGCAAATCACTCGAGGCCAGGAGTTTGAGACCAGAATGGCCAACGTGGCAAAACCCTGTCTATACTACAAATACAAAAATTAGTCCGGCATGGCGGTGCATGCCTATAATCCCAACTACTTGGGAGGCTGAGGGGTGAGATTCACTTGAGACCCAGAGGCAGAGGTTGCAGTGAGCCAAGATTGCATCACTGCACTCTGGCTTGAGCAAGAGAGCAAGAATCTGTCAAAAAAAAGAAAGAAAGAAAAAAAAAAAAACCAAACCAAACAAACAACAACAGAAGAGGCCAAGAGCCAAATTAGGAATGCAATGTCATTCACCATTATTGCCACAACAAGAATCAGATACCTAGGAAGGCTGCTAGAAGAAAACAAAAAATAACCAAAGCGGGCAGAAGACAAGAAATTACTAGAATTAGAGCTTTCACCAGGAGGCGAAAGGTCTCTACAAGGAGAACTCCAAACACTGCTCAAAGAAATCAGAGATGATGCAAACAACTGGAAAAAACACTCCATGCTCAAGGGTAGAAAGAATCAATATTGTTAAAGTGGCATACAGCCCAAAGCAATTTACGAATTCAATGTTATACCTGTCAAACTACCAATGATATTCTTCACAGAAGAAAAATATATTTTAAAATTCATATGAAACTAAAAAAGAGGCCACATGACGAAAGCAATCCTAAGTAAAAAGTAGAAAGCTGGAGTCATCATGTTACTTGGCTTCAAAATATACTACGGTGTTACAGTAACCAAAACAGCATGGTACTGGAACAAAAACAGACACAGACCAATGAAACAGAACAGAGAGCCCAGAAGTAAGACCACATACCCACAACCACGTGATCTTCAAAAGCTGACAAAATCAAGCAATCGGGAAAATACTCTCTTTTCAATAAATGATGCTGGGATAACTGGCTGGCCATATGCAGAAGATTGAAAATGGATCCCTTTCTTATACCATATACAAAAATCAACTCAGAAAGGATTAAAGACTTAAATGTAAAACCTGAAACTATGAAAAGAAGCCTAGAAGAAAACCTAGGCAATAGCATTCTAGACATAGGAAGGGGCAAAGATTTCATGATGAAGACGCCAAAAGCAATTGCAACAAAAACAAAAATTGACACAAGAGAGTTAATTAAACTGAAGAGCTTCTGCGCAGCCAGAGAAACTATCAGCCGAGTAAACAGACAACCTACAGGACGGGAGAGAAGTTCTGCACACTCTGCATGTAACCAAAGTCTAATATCTGGCATCTATAAGCAAATTTAAAAAAAGGGGGCAAAGGATATGAACAGACACTTTTCAAAAAAAAAAAAAAAAGATATATATGCAGCCAACAAGCATATGAGAAAAAGCTCAACATCACTATCATTAGAGAAATGCAAATCAAAACCACAATGAGACACCATCTCACACAAGTCAGAATGGCTATAATTAAAAAGTCAAAAAACAAAAATGACATGATTGTATATCTAGAAAACTCCATAGTCTCAGCCCAAAAGCCCCTTAAGCTCGTGAAAAACTTCAGCAAAGTCTCGGGGTACAAAGTCCACAGACAGAAATTACTAGTATTCCTAGATGCCGTAACAGGCCAAGGCTAGCAAGGGCCTGGAAAAAAGGAAATGTTTATTCATTGTTGGTGTAAATTAGTTTAACTGTCCTGGAAAACAGTGTGGTGACTCCTTAAAGAGAAAGAAAACAGAGCTACCATTCAACCCAGAAATCCCATTACTGGGTATATACCCAAAGAAATATAAATCTTTCTTTCTTTTTTTTTTTTTGAGACGGAGTTTTGCTCTTGTTACCCTGGCTGGAGTGCAATGGCGCGATCTCGGCTCACCGCAACCTCCGCCTCCTGGGTTCAGGCAATTCTCCTGCCTCAGCCTCCTGAGTAGCTGGGATTACAGGCACACACCACCATGCCCAGCTAATTTTTTGTGTTTTTAGTAGAGATGGACTTTCACCATGTTGACCAGGATGGTCTCGATCTCTTGACCTCGTGATCCACCCGCCTCGGCCTCCCAAAGTGCTGGGATTACAGACATGAGCCACTGTGCCCGGCCAGAAATATAAATCTTTCTAACATAAAAATACATGCACATGTATGTTCTTTGCAGCACTATTGGCAATAGCAAAGACATGGAATCAATCTAAAAGCCCATCGATAAAGAAAATGTACATATATCTCATGAAATACTATCCAGTCATTAAAAAGATCAAGATCATGTCCTTTTCAGCGACCTGGATGGAGCTGGAGTCTGTTATCCTTGGCAAACAAACACAGAAACAGAAAAGCAAATACCACATGTTTTCACTTATACACGAGAGCTAATTGATGAGAACACATGGACTTACAGAGGGCAACAACACACACTGGGGCCTACTGGAGTCTGGAGGGTGGGAAGGGGGAGAAGACCAGGAAAAATACCTAATGGGTGCTGATCTTAATACCTGGGTGATGAAATAGTCGGCATAACAAAACCCCAGGACCGAGTTTACCCCTGTAACAACTATAACAAAACTCATATGTACCCCCGAACTGTCTTCAAAATGAGAGAGCGAGAAAGAAAGAGTCCTGGAAGTCTTTTGGACGACACTTACCTGTTACAGTAGGTAGCCAGGCAGAGGTGAGCAGGGCAGGAGAGGCAGCTGCTCCCACCAGGAATGTGAGTAGACCATCAGGTGATGGGCAGGCAATTATTAAGCTGTTTTTCCAAAGTAATAATGGGTCGCAGCTGGTGCCAGGGAATCGCTGTCTCCCAGTAGACAGAAAACACCTGAAACTGGTGATGGGTGTCTGGATCGGATCTCAGGGTCCAGGTGAGCATCCTTGAGCATGCTCACTAAGAGGCAAAATGGCAGTCTAAACAGTCTGTGACCTTCCTCTGGGAGCATTCCACTGGTAGGGGGAAAACACCTCAAGTGAACATATGCACAATTCCAGTGAACCCCCTGCACCTGCGCCCCCTCCCAAGTGCTGGCAGGCCACTGCTCATGCAAGAGTCCACCCCAAGGGAAGAATCAGGGGAGAAGTGGCACCTGCCGGATGTATGAGACCCCCCCGCAAGTTGACCGGCCGCGGTGGCTCAAGCCTGTAATCCCAGCACTTTGGGAGGCTGAGGCGGGTGGATCACGAGGTCAAGAGATCGAGACCATCCTGGTCAACACGGTGAAACCCCATCTCTACTAAAAATACAAAAAATTAGCTGGGCATGGTGGTGCGTGCCTGTAATCCGAGCTACTCAGGAGGCTGAGGCAGGAGAATCGCCTGAACCCAGGAGGCGGAGGTTGCGGTGAGCCGAGATCGCGCCATTGCACTCCAGCCTGGGTAACAAGAGTGAAACTCCATCTCAAAAAAAAAAAGAGACCCCCAAGTCAAGGTCAAAACATGCATTGACACTCAGGTTGCCCCTCTGGCCTCCATCCAAGTGTACTTCACTTCCTTTTGTTCCTAAAGATTTTTAATAAACATGCATTCCTGCTATAAAACTCACCTCAGTCTCTCACTCCTGCTTTTGCCCCTCACTCGAATCCTTTCTTCTGATGAGGACAGGGTTGAGGTGGCTGAAGACCTGTACGGATTTGCCCCTGCTCGCAGTGCCCTTCAGCAGTCTCGTTTGGCCACTCCCTTAGCACTGGCAAGCCTCCCCTTTCACGGCACTTTGCCAGTGGCCACAGTTGAGACTTGAAATCCCGAAGAGCAGGAGCAATAGGCTGCCAGGCTTTCCCCACCTGCCACACTCACTAATTTCTTACTGTCACTCACCTGTTTGGAACACATCATTATCTTTCTCTCCAGGGCTGGGAGTGGTTTGGAAAGCCCCTGCCAGGGTGTCCTAAGTAGATGTTATTTATTTCCAGCCCATGTACAGGTCAAGGAAAAGCTTCCTCTTCACCCTCTGAAGGTTCAGTGAAAATCAACTGACAAAAGATAGATTAACAGGAGAAAAAGCATCCGAAATGTCATTTTGACGTACATAGCATGGGAGAACTGAAGGAGACTGATTATAATAACCCAGTGGGGAAGAGAAGCATATGTACCTTTTTCATGGCCAAAGCGGTGATCAGGAGTGTGGACATTCTTTTGAGGGGCAGCAATCATCAGAGACAATGAATGTACCCTGGAGATAGAAATGCATTTGTCAATGATTGTCTTTGGAATTTGAAAGCTTCTGAGAGGTAGGCATTATCTAGTGAAAAGTCCTTTTGGGTATGGTTTCATTCCCGGGTCTTCTCTTCTGAGATAGATAATGAGATTTCAGGAAGAGAACCGAGTTAGTTAAGATGAGAAGTGTTGACCTAAAAAGAAGCGGCAGAGGTGAAATGAACATAAGTAGACGGTTTATTTGGGCCAAGCTTGAGATTGCAACCCAGAAGCACAGATTTGAGTTGCCCTGAATACCAACTCTGATTAGGAGCAAGTGGCTTTTTTTTTTTTTTGAGACTTAGTTTCGCTCTTGTTGCCCAGGCTGGAGTGCAATGGCGCGATCTCGGCTCACCACAACCTCCGCCTCCTGGGTTCAGGCAATTCTCCTGCCTCAGCCTCCCGAGTAGCAGGGATTACAGGTACGCGCCACCATGCCCAGCTAATTTTTTGTAGTAGAGACGGGGTTTCACCATGTTGACCAGGATGGTCTCGATCTCTTGACCTCGTGATCCACCCACCTCGGCCTCCCAAAGTGCTGGGATTACAGGCGTGAGCCACCGCGCCCGGAGCAAGTGGCTTTTTAAAGGAAAAGAAGAGGCAGTTCCTGAGCTTTCACCAACGTTCCAGGGCCGGAGGTTCTGAGGCGGCTCTTAAGGCCTCTCAGCATGGCAGAGCCTTAGTGTTGGGTTTTGCTTTCTGAGCTCCAGCACACGTAAACATCCGAGAAAGAAAAGTCGCTCTATGCAGTCTGAGCTATGTGGGGTCAGCAAAATACATCAGGCCCAAAGAGACAAGAGCATGAAGCTGCAGTCAAACACCCGCCATTCCCCAGGACAATGGTTTAAAAACATTTTGATCTGTTTTTCCTACTCTGTAGTTTCCAGACTAGCTGATAAATCCCCTCAAACGGTATCACAAGTTCAACAAAGTGACCCTCGGCTTTTATCTTAATGTTCCTGAAAGTTGTGATTACGAAGAACAATGTACACCAATCAGTATCTTATGTTATTTTAATGAACCAATGTAAGAACTTCCCCTTCCTTTTTCCTTTAAAAACCCACTTAGAATTGTTGCTAATACATTCAGGGCAACTTGAATCTGTGTCCACCGAGTTGAACTCCTCAAACGCGGCCCAAATAAACTCTGAACTTACATGAATTTCTTTCTTCATTGCCTCACATTTTAAAATCCCTCCATTGGGGAGCACTAAACGCTGGGGTCTATTGGGGGGAAAAGGGGAGGGCCAGCGGCGGGGGGCGGGGGAGCTGGGGAGGGATAGCCTAGGGAAAAATGACAAATGTGGGTGAAGGGGAGAAAGGAAGCAAAACACACTGCCATGTGTGTACCTATGCAACTGTCTTGCACGTTCTGCACATGTACCCCAAAACCTAAAATGCAATACAAAATTAAAATTTTTTTAAAAATCCCGCCATCTTCCATTTGACAGCATGATATCTGTCCGTGGCATTCTCTTCTATTAAACAGGTACACTCTCCCCCGTGTTTGACACAAGTGTTTCCTAGGTGAAGCACGCAACAGTTTGTCACTTAGAGACCACATGATTAAGATAGAGAGCTGATGTTAAAGTCTTGAAAGGTCTGACTTCCATAGAATCTTGTTCCGCAGAGAAAAAAAAAGTCATGTTCTTTTCACTTAAATATAGAACAAGTATCCACACTTTAGATCTCATTGACTGAAAAAAAAAATGTTGCTTTTGCCAAGATCTTTGAAATGAGTACTTTCTCTAACAACTCACAAGAGGATTTAAGTTTCTATTCTTTTTGAAGAATTACGGCTTTCATCAAATCAAACGAAAAGTATTAGTAACTGTGCTGGTACAGCACGGATTCAACCAAATGTAACAAAACGATTGAGAATTTCTGTTGAAAAAGTGCCAGGGCTAGAGCTAATGTTGTGAAACCGAGTTAGTTAAGATGAGAAGTGTTGACCTAAAAAGAAAACGCCGAGGTGAAATTAATATAAGTAGAGGATTCATTTGGGCCAAGCTTGAGGACTGCAACTGGCAAGCACAGATTCAAGTTGCCCTGAATATCCACTCTGATGAGCAGCATTTACAAGTGGATTTTTTTTTTTTTTTTTTTTTGAGATGGAGTTTCGCTCTTGTTACCCAGGCTGGAGTGCAATGGCGCGATCTCGGCTCACCGCAACCTCCGCCTCCTGAGTTCAGGCAATTCTCCTGCCTCAGCCTCCTGAGTAGCTGGGATTACAGGCACGCGCCACCATGCCCAGCTAATTTTTGGTATTTTTAGTAGAGACGGGGTTTCACCATGTTGACCAGGATGGTCTCGATCTCTTGACCTCGTGATCCACCTGCCTCGGCCTCCCAAAGTGCTGGGATTACAGGCGTGAACCATCTCGCTCGGCCGGATTTTTTAAAGGAAAAGCAGAGGCAGTTCCTGAGTCGTTTACCACGAATTTACATTAAAATAACATAAGCTATTGATTGGCCGTACATTGTTCTTTGTATCACAAATTCAGGAGCACGGAGCTACTGGGTGAGGCAGACAGGAACAAAATGACTTTCAGCAATGCCCTCCAAGGAAGGAGGAGCACGACTGAAGTCACACACTCAGGTTTCCCTGAGCCTGATGTATTTTGCATACCTCACAGAGCTCAAATTGCCGGGACCTATTTTTTTATTCTCAAAAGGTAGGGAGAAGAGGTTCTAAAATTAATGTGTTATTGAGAATTTTATATTAATTCTTTCTTTTCCAATGTCTGTAACAACAAAGGATGAGGCAGGAAGCCTTGTCAGCTGTCTAAGTGCTGTCTAAATGGAGAGGCAAAAATGCTTTCAACAGCTTTATAGAGGTGTAGGTGACAGGCAAACAGACTGCACTTATTTAATGCGGGCAGTTTGATGAGTTTGGACATTTGCAGACACCTGAATAAAATCACCACAGTCAAGGTAATAAACACATCCATTTCCTCCAAAATTTCCTATGTCTCTTTGCAAGTTTTTTCTCAGGCAAAGTATTTTTCATCAGCACATACAACTTATATAAATGAAGGGAAGAAAACATGAAAGACGTGAAAAAATTCTTAGCATTGTATCATTGAAATAATCTTAGCATTCCCTGTCTTCTCATTTTGCATTTGAGTGAACAAGGCACAGGGTCAGGGGTTGAAGGGCTTATTTTGGACCCACAGAGAGAGGGACCCAGGGGTTCTGGTTCCGAATTGCAGGCTGCTGCTCTTCTCACATGGTATTTTTCCCTCCAGATCACCCTGCCTGGTCCAGCCTCTAACACAAATCCTCTTGCCCATTTTATTTAGTTTTTACTCCTACATACGGTGTTATTTAAAACAGTGATGAGCCGGGCATGGTGGCTCAAGCCTGTAATCCCAGCACTTTGGGAGGCTGAGGCGGGTGGATCACAAGGTCAAGAGATCAAGACCATCCTGGTCAACATGGTGAAACCCCGTCTCTACTAAAAATACAAAAAATTAGCTGGGCATGGTGGCGCGTGCCTGTAGTCCCAGCTACTCAGGAGGCTGAGGCAGGAGAATTGCCTGAACCCAGGAGGCGGAGGTTGCGGTGAGCCGAGATCGCACCATTGCACTCCAGCCTGGGTAACAAGAGTGAAACTCCATCTCAAAAAAAAAAAAAAAAAAAAGAAAGTGATGAATGAAAGGTCCAAATTCTACGGAAACATGTTTAAAAGGTTTATTCTGAGACAATAGGAATGACTGTGGCCCAGGTGACACAATCTCAATAAGTCCTGGGAAAGCACACCCAAGGCAATTGGGTTACTTCCTATTCAATCAGCCTTCGTGACACAGAACAGCAACCAACCCCAGGAGAAATACCTAATGTAGGTGACGGGGGGATGGAGGCAGCAAACCACCATGGCACATGAATACCTATGTAAAAATCCTGCACGATCTGCACATGTACCCCAAAATGTGTACCCCCATGGGCACAGACTGGTGGTGAAGCAGGGGCAGGCTGAAGACAGGCCACTGCCTTGTCCCCCAGCTTACACCTTCTAGTGCCCCTCATCAGCCCTGTCTTCTCAGAGAGAATGCTGATCAGCAGGCACCTTTTTTCCAGAAACTTATTCATGCTGTGCTGCACTTTCCCCTTCCTGTCCAGATAAAAAGTTTTCTAATCTGTTAACTTAGAAGTCCGGGTTCCATAAGAAGCTTTGAAAAGCAGCATAATGGATTTTACTCTGAAATAAAGTCGTCCCTTGTTCCCAGTGCTTTCTTTTGTCAAGCCTGCCAGTGTTGGTCAATGATATGTATGACGTGCTTCATGTTTTCTTTGCATCGAGTTCCTGTAAAGATTGGGGTTAATCGCTCTGGGAGGGAGCACTCAGATGAGAAAGGGAATTAGCCCAGGAGTCTGAGTCAGCTGCCTGCTGGGCGGGTCTCCCTGCCGCTCTCCCCTCACCCCACGCGCCCTGTCTGCCCCTTGCTCTTCCATAGAAGCACTCCTCTGCCAGGGTGTGGGGGAGGAAGCATTGCAAAAGACATTCGGAAATGGGCTTCAGTATTCGGAGACTTTCTGAGCTCGGGCCTTAAATCTCATTTCAGGCCGTGATGAGGTTCCCAGCAGGTTTTCCAGCCAGACTAGACTGTGGTGGGGACTCCCTGGGCTCTTGAGTTCTATTTCCTGGCACTGACACTGCCAAATTTCCTCCCATTTAGGCTTTTTGAGGCAGAAGGGAAATGTTCGAGGGTATGCACTTTTGTTAAGATGTGCTAAACCCGACCAGGATGTTTTTAAAATGGAAAAGCTAATGCAAACACCAAGGCCCGCCAAAGGATGAGCCCTCTGAGGCCCAAGTGAGAGAGCTTTACGAGGCACTATTTTTATCCCACGGGCAAGAGAAACTACATTTGAACGGAAGCATAAGCACATTCACTGCTTGGTATTTTACATATGTTTTTATCTCACTCCAATTAGCTATGTTACCTAACCTCTTGTTCCTATGTGAAAATAGACAGTGAATTAGAGACACCTCTCAGAATTGGTGGTAACTATACTTGACAGATGCCTGCCGAACAAGGAACCAGCTGCTAAGCGCAAGTGAAATATAGAGGTCCCAGCTGCTGGGCTAATTCAATCAAATTGGGACATTTGTCTTTATTCATAATTTTATGAGGAAGAAAATATCATTGACAGCAGCGTTTCAGATCAAATCTTTTCATTCCTCAGGGCCAGTTTTTCTTCCTCTGTTGCATTTCAGTGGCCAGCACCTGCACCTCTGTGCCCACATTTGGTGGGGTTCAGTGCTTTATGACTGAAAGGAGAAAGGATTTGCTTACTACAATGAAGATTTTTCAAGGTTCTTCATCCTTGTTGGGCTTCTGTCCTCCCTGGACAACTTAATACAGTTGCCTCATTTCCCAGCTCTTGACATAACCACAGAGGCATCTTCCTTTGCTTCTCCTAGCCCAGGACAGATGTTTTTACCGGAGCCTGAGTTTATCTCCCGTGAGGAAGCAGCAAGGAATTCGTCTACAAAGAAAAACGGAGTAAAAATGACAAGGTACAGATAACAGCAAGGTTTTAAAAGGAAACAGATCAGGCACCTTAGGGAAGGGCTGAGGAAGAGGAGAAAATGGAAAAGCAGGTTTTCAATTCTCTTCCGGCATCTGTGTGCCCTCCTGGGCTGGCGAGAGCATGAAATTCATTGTCACGTCCAGCACACACTTAACCGTTCAGTCGGTGGCCGGCTTTTCATTGTTTTAATCTACTTACGAGGATTAATTTTTACTTGATTTCTCTAACTATAAGAATTCTCCAAGATGGAAGGAGTAGCTCTAAATTTATCCTAAACAGTAAGAAATAAAGCCAAGTTAAAAAATATGTTGACACAATATGCAATTTGCATTTTTAAATGTCTGGAAAAATTGCAGTCATGATATCTCAAATCCACAGTTAGATTTCTGAAAACCAACTGTGGCATTTAATATAGAAAGTTGTGTGCTTTGGTATATTTGGTTTGTAATTTCATCTAAGATTGAAGACTAAAGCAACAGGAGAATCAGTTCTTCCCCCATTTATTTATTTGTTTTTCTTTTCTCTCTTTTTTTTTTTTTTTTTTTTTTGTTGGAGAACAGGGTCTTGCTATTTTGCCCAGGCAGGTCTTGAACTCTGGGTTCAAGCTCTCCTCCTGCCTCTGCCTCCCTAACTGCTGGGATTGCAGTCGTGAGCCACTGCGCCCGGCCCTTTCTTCCCTGATTTACATTACTGATGATAACCATCTGGATTACTGAAGGGAAAAGCGGCAGCGTGCTCATGATCCAGGCAATGACAAGGTTCTGATTAACTGAAGGCACAAAACAGACGCAGAGAGACTCAGAGTGCTCCTCAAGCCTCAGGCCCATCGGGTCCAAGCGGGAAGTGGTCTGTACTCAGTCCTTGTAAATTCTTTGTCTTTCTAACAGTTTGGATTTTTTTAAATTCTATGGGTAAAATTCATTTCTTTTAGCCCCATATTAGATAAATCGCATTGTAAACCAAAGTGAAAAAAAAAATCTGCCAGGCGCGGTGGCTCATGCCTATAATCCCAGCACTTTGGGAGGCCGAGGCGGGTGGATCACGAGGTCAAGAGATCGAGACCATCCTGGTCAACATGGTGAAACCCCGTCTCTACTAAAAATACAAAAAATTAGCTGGGCATGGTGGCACGTGCCTGTAATCCCAGCTACTCAGGAGGCTGAGGCAGGAGAATTGCTTGAACCCAGGAGGCGGAGGTTGCGGTGAGCCGAAATCGCACCATTGCACTCCAGCCTGGGTAACAAGAGAGAAACTCGGTCTCAAAAAAAAAAAAAAAAAATCTGACAGTAAAACAGCAGAAGAGTTTCTTCTCAAAGCAAATAGTTTTTACTCCGTTACATTCCTTGGGAAGGAAACTCTCTTTCAAATCCTTATAAAATTTTTTGGGCATAGATCAAGCCAGCATCAACGATCATCTTCATCACCAGTAACATGTTTAGAGTATGACTCTGTGCCAGGTGATGCGAAATAAGCATATAGGCACAGTCCCGACCCTGGCTGTCATTCAATCATTCAGCTGGCCGTTTTTCCAAGTCTCACACAGCACGTGTCCTCTCAGCCCTCCCATGATGCCAGTGGGGCCACAGGCCAATGAAGCCAACACGTTGCAGGTGCTCCCTCTACAGCAACACGAACTGCCAGATACTGCAGGAATTCAGGGCCCATTTCTAGGGATGTTTGGACTGTACAGACAAGGAATCGAATGGGACTTCCTCAGCCTGATAAAGAAGGTCTATGAAAATCTCCAAATTAATGTCCTGCTCAACGATGAGACTGGACGTTTTCCTGTAACATCAGGAACGAGACAAACATGTATGTTCTCCCCACCTCTATTCAACATTGTGCTAGAGGTTCTAGCCACAGCAGTTCAACAACAAAAAAACACAAAACAAAAAATGAAAGAAAGAGAGAGAGAGGAAATGCAGACTCAAAAGAATAAGTACAACTATCTATTTGCAAATGACCTAATCTTGCACTTAGAAAATCCTAAGACACTCACTAAAAAACTGTGGAACTTAAAAACATATTCAGAAAGGTTGAAAAATGTAAGATTAATAAATAAATATTAATCTTTGTTTAACTGTATTTCTATACAATTATATTTCCACACAATTAAACAAAGACTTGTATTTCTATACTTCTTTAATGAACATTCGAAAAATGAAATTAAGAAAGCAATTGCATATACAATGGCATTTAAAAGAATAAATATTTAAGAATAAATTTAACAAAATAAGTGAAAAATGTGTACTCTTAAATCTACAAAACAATGTTGAAGAGGATCTAATTGATTTGAAAAATATCTCACATTCATGAATTGTATGACTTAACATTAGTACTGTGGGCCGGGCGCGGTGGCTCAAGCCTGTAATCCCAGCACTTTGGGAGACCGAGGCGGGTGGATCACGAGGTCAACAGATCGAGACCATCCTCGTCAACATGGTGAAACCCCGTCTCTACTAAAAATACAATTAGCTGGGCATGGTGGCGCGTGCCTGTAATCCCAGCTACTCAGGAGGCTGAGGCAGGAGAATTGCCTGAACCCAGGAGGCGGAGGTTGCGGTGAGCCGAGATCGCACCATTGCACTCCAGCCTGGGTAACGAGAGCGAAACTCCGTCTCAAAAAAAAAAAAAACATTAGTACTGTGACAATACTCCATAAATTGATCTATATATTCAATATAATCCCTACTAGAATTCCAGGTGACTGCTCCATATAAATGACATAATGATTCCAAAATTCATATGAAATTACAAGGGGCCCAGAATATCCAAAACCATGTTGGAAAAGAAAGACAAAGTAGGAAGACTCACACTTCCCATTTTTTCTTTTTTCTTTTTTTTTGAGACGGAGTTTTGCTCTTGTTACCCAGGCTGGAGTGCAATGGCGCGATCTCGGCTCACCGCAACCTCCGCCCCCTGGGTTCAGGCAATTCTCCTGCCTCAGCCTCCTGAGCACACTTCCCATTTTAAACATGCGCGACAAAAGCAATGGCAATCAAGACCGTGTAGCACCGGCACAACGACAGACAAGGAAATCGGTGGAAGAGAAGTGCGAGCCCAGACATAAGCCCACACAGATCCGGTCAACGGATGAGGGTGCCAAGACCATCCACGGGAGACAGGATTCTCTTTTCACAAATTGTGCTGGAACAACAGATGCAAAAGAATGAATTTTGACCCTACGTCACACTAAATATGGCTGAAATTTTTCCCAATTTGGCACAAGCTTACAGAGTCAAAAAGATGAGTGATTCTCAAACAAGATAAAACCAAAGAAACTCATATGAGGACACAAGCTTCTGCCGAAGGACAATGCACATGTATTGGAAGCAGTGAGAGATAAATGATACCTTATCTATTGGGGGAAAACAATGACAGTGGGTTTCTTATCAGAAGCGTAGATGCCAGAAAAAAGTGGTACAGTATTTTTCAGTGCTAAAAGAAAAGACACGTCATCTCCAGATTTTATATTTGCCAAAATTATCTTTCAGGAATACAGGGAAAGTAAAGACATTTCCAGACCAAGAAAAAAAACCTAAGAGACTTTGTCACCAGCAGATCTGTAAAAGAATGTCTAAGGGAGACCGTGAAACATAAAAAGGAGAATACAGGAAGGAAACCTGGACCAACAGCAAGGAAGTAAAAACAACAGAGAAAGCAAAAACATGACGAAGAAATACAGACACCATCTTAAGTGATAAAATTTGTCAACAGTAAGTGGGTAAAGCAACATCTTATACCTCCTGATAAGATAATTGGAGATAAACACAGCGTTGCATCTGGGGCACTTCTGCCAAATGCGTTATGAATTAAACCATAAGAAAATATCAAACTAAAACTAAGGCGCATTTGCAAAATGTCTGACCCATATTCTTAAAAAATTCCAAGGTCGTGAAAGACAAGGGAAGAGGAAAGCGAATGAAAGCTAAAGAGAAATAGCCACAACTCACGAGATCTATGAAAGGATTGTGGCGGTTACGTCACTGACATGATACTGCCGCACAGTCTAACGTACTGATTGTCATGCACGTAATTGCGTTTGTGTATGAGAGTGTGCTTGTTTTTAGGAACTATGCACTAAAATTTGGACATTTGGGCATATCTGCAACTTATTGTCAAATAATTTTACATAGATTAGATAGCTATCTACCTAGGTGTAGATATCTTTATTGATACACGTGTGTGTGTGTGTGTGTGTGTGTGTGTGTGTGTGTGTTTGGGGAGAGAGAGAAAGACAGAAAAAGATGAAGGAATTATGGTAAATACGGTAATGTTTAAGTAGGTAAGTATCAGGAAAAATGAGCTCAGGTATACAATATTTATACCAATCTTGCAACTTTTCTGTAAGTTTGAAATTATTGCAAAATAAAAACTTAAAGACAAAAAGAATGAGGAAAAGATCTGAATAGACCCCTTACCAAAGAAGAAATACAGGTGGCAAATAAGCATAGGGAAAGATGCTCAGCATCATTGAATACAGTCGAAATGCAAGTTAAAACAATAACGGGTACCACGGCACACCCATTAGAATGCCTGAAATTAAAAAGAAAATCTGGCCTGTTGTTGGTGAGGATGTAGAGCAACAGAGCAACAACAGAATTCATTGTTGGTGGGAACGCACAATTGTGTAGCTACTTTGGAAGACAGCTGGGCAGTTTCTTCCAAAGCTAAACACAGTCTTACCATGTGATCTAACAAGGACAGGTATTTACCCAACTATTTAAAACACATATATATTTTTTTAAGGTCGAGTTTCCCTCTTTTTACCTAGGCTGGAGTGCAATGGCGCGATCTCGGCTCACCGCAACCTCCGCCTCCTGGGTTCAGGCAGTTCTCCTGCCTCAGCCTCCCGAGTAGCTGGGATTACAGGCACGCACCACCGTGTCCAGCTAATTTTTTGTATCTTTAGTACAGACGGGGTTTCACCATGTTGACCAGGATGGTCTCAATCTCTTGACCTCGTGATCCACCCACCTCGGCCTCCCAAAGTGCTGGGATGACAAGCACCGTGCCTGGCCTTAAAACATAATTTTAAAACTTATGTTGACAAAAAAAAATCCTGTATATAAATACTTACAGAAGCTTTATCTATAATCACCAAAAATTGGAAGCAAGCAGGATAGTCTTTCAATAGGTTAAGGATAAACAAACTAACAGAATGTTATTCACTGACAAAGAGGAATACACTATTAATCCACACGGCAACATGGATGAATCCATTGCTACGTAAAAGAAGCCCATCTGAGAAGGCCACATGCCGTATGATTCATTCATATGACATTGTAGAAATGGTAAAACTGCAGAAACAGAAAAGAGATGGGTGGTGGTTCCTAGGGATTTGGGGAGAGCAGGTTTGTACAGGAGGTTTCGTAGGGAAGTGAGACTCCTTGGTACGGGAATGTAGTAGTGGATAAACAACACGACGCGTTCATGGAAACCCTGAGAACTTTACGCAGACAGTGATGCTTAATGTTTATAACTGTTTTTTACGTTTTTGGATAACTGGGGGCCCTGCACGGACCACAAACTGACAAAATAATCCAACAGCACCACAGATGTGTGTGATAATATCACTGGAGAGAGTGAGGAAAAGTGGTATCAATGTAAGTAACTTTGGAAAGGACCGGTATCCATACGACTGAAAACAAAGGGAACTGTGCAGTCGATTGTGCTAGTTGGCATACGGGGTTTCCAATATTGAAACTGCCATAAGTACATGTGCACTGGGGTTGAGCGAGTAAGTAACTGAATGGTGGGCATCAGGTTCCCACTGTTGGAGGGAAAGGTCACAGGCA